TGGATCTAAAGGGCTTTTAATTATTACAGCATTGCTACTTGCTGTGGTTGCATTGAGGACAGAATGCCAGGTATGCCAATMACATCAACCATATGTCAAAACTAGAGAACAAAACGACCCCCTCGCCGTCAAATCGATTTACGTAAATATATATATAGACCACCTTCATATAATATTCATACGCAACCTTTTAACTATCCTAAAATAAATCGAGCATCAAGCTGTTGCAGACTCATTCTGCCCAAAAGGATCACCTTATTTAAATATAGTATCAGGCCAGGTCACACTGTATGTATAGGAGGGGATGGGACACAATGTATTTTTCTTTTTTTTACTGCCTTTCTTTCTAATTTCTTGTCTAATTTATTTTGATTTTTGAGAAAAAATATGATTATGAAGGATAATAAAAACTCTCAAGTGTGAGGGAATGAATATTTGACACAGTACTTGTGTCTACTTTCAGCAGTTCACCATCAACAAGACAGGCTGCTTCAAAACAAAAGGCTGCATTTCTTTCCCAAGCTCTTGCAGTTCATCAGACGATTGCGATTACCTTTTGACGTATGCATCGAAAGGAGATCACGTGGTCTTTGAATTAAGTTCAAAGAACGAATATGCTGGATTTGGTCTGAATACCAAAAAGGCTATGGTAAATTGACCAGATATCAGATATCAGACTTTGTTTTGGCATTGCAAATACCTTTCCTACATCACGGCTCGATAACGTAGTATGCAAAAGAATACCAGACAAGCAAGGATGGCCAAGCAAGGGGAGCAAGGATGGCCGAGCGGTTAAAACGCCGGTCTATCACCGTTGTGGTCCTGGTTCGATTCCTGGTCCGGGACTATATGTGATTTGAGTTTGTAGGCTGGTTCTCTTCCTTGCTCSGAGGGTTTTTCTCCAGGTCCGCTGGTTTTCCTCCCTCCGTCAAAAACTAGCTGTGAGGAGTGTTGTGTAGTAAAATAATGAATGTAGAGTAGTGAGTGTGTGTGGATATAGAGGGCCACAAGTTTACTAGTCTGGAGACTATTACGTGCTACCCTCTCAAAATAAAAGCGTTTATTTATTTATTACAAGCCTCTGGAACCGCAGTGTACGATGATACTGATTGCAATGAATGATGGTATAGATGATGGTCAGGTGACCAAAAAATGCCAATCATGATAAAGTAAGTCATTGTCAATCATCACAGGGGCAGTGATTTGTCTTTTTCAGGATGGAGGGGATGCTATAGTTTGTTCTAAGCTACCTTTAGCTTATAATACCAGCAGAGCTTTAGTTGGCCATTATTTACTACATCATCACAACACTCCATCAATCTCTAAACCGGTGAGGGTTTTGATATTCAATAAATTAATGGAAAATAAGGGAATTATTGTAGATAGGAATAATAATAAGTATTAATRTRATAATATAATAAATAATAATAAATGATAAACATAACATAGAGTKCACACCACAAAAGYGTGAAATATTTCTTAATAATCAGCAACTAATAAGATATAGTTATCAACTAACTAAGWATTCACTGGGGCATGAACACAAGGCCAGAAAAGGAAATTGTCTTTGTTTATGCCTCAATTAATTCTTAGTTAGTTGATAACTAAATCTTATCAGGCACTAATTAGTTAAGAATTGTTATTACACTAATGTGGCGTGCTAAGTGTGGGTATTAGAATTTAGATGGGAATGGAATGGATGAAAATGAATGAAATGGCCAGAGTGAAAAAGAAATTGTAAATGAAATGTTTAAGAAAAAAACAATTTTCTTACAAATAGTTCTTCATGGTAATTTCAGACTCCTCCCGGTTTGACACACATGAGTGGAGCCTTCGAAAATGGAAGAATCTTCTGCAGGTGRCAAACAAGTTTGATTTATTGATCGATTCGTCCATTAAGTTATCCATGCATTGCTCATTTATTCCTCTTCATTCGTTCATTTAATTATCTATTGTATTAAAACTGTAATCCATTCTATCTTATATTACTATGCATTCTGTGCATTCTTTCGAAAGGTTTCATCACTCGAACAAAGCCATTCCGCCATTCAAATATAACTTGACCAGTAAGAACTACTTTTTGTACTCTAGAGGATACATATCTTGTAAGTATGGCATACAAGCTTGGTTTTAACTTTGCCTAATTTACATTTTGAAACATTAATCAGAAATCAATCAACATAAATTGAGCTCAGTTTCGAGTCGTAAATCAAAATGACAACTGCTGGCCAAGCAGAGTAGCAGCTACTGAGTCCATAGGCTGCCCAACTATTGCTTGAGATAGAAAAATCGAGGTGCGCAGCGCGCGCACGCTTTTATTTATCTACGCGCGCTCTTAGAGAAGTGCGGGTTACCTGTGGTATTACGTCACGATCCCTGCCTCGCGGGATGCAAACTTGGTTTACGTCCCGCAAGACACGGGATCGCACGCAGAAAAGCGCATGCAGATATATCATATTTTATTATATTATATTATATTTTAGTATTTACAGCCTTTTGCAGAAATTATGAGAATTGTCTAAATATCTAAATATCATAATATCCATATCCATATATTGTCCGGAACACGCGGGTTTGCTAAAGAATTCATTGTTGACATCGAGAAAATGTTCAGAACTACGGATAAGTCTGTCGCCAAAAAAAACCCTAAACAACAAAGACAAGGGACTAAGGGCATCGCGCGGGATCATGCACTTGATATTATGATATTTAGATATTTCAACAATTCTCATAATTTTTGCAAAAGGCTGTATAAGAATATTTATTTATTATATTATAATCGTATGAGGAAGTGGCTGATCCCAATACACATAAAGTGTAGAGCTAGTTATATATATGATATCAAAGAGGCAAGATTTTGCTGTAACTCCGAGTTTCGTGCTACGCACTCATCAGACAGTATTTATTTTTACAGTATTTATTTTTTATTATATTATATTATATTTTAGTATTTATTTAGAACGTATAATATTAAATTTTCGTTTTCCTATGATTATCTATAGCAAGTGGAGGTCTAACACATCATGTCTGGAGGGATATTTCTGAAGGAAAGCAATCTATCGCGTCCAGAGGGCCTGTGAAAGAATCAAGTGACGTAATGAAAGCAATACATGGTTAGTATTGGTCAGTTGATTGTAGGGCTAAAGAAGGTTGTGCAGCAAACTGAAGTGAAACAAAATAAAGCCAAATAAACTGGTAAAAAAAAAAGAAAAAAAAAAACACCAAAAGTAAAGTACAGTTTTTGCGTTTTGAATTTGTCTGATGATTTTATGTTTCAATAGCTGGTTTGATGTTGCTGGCCTGGATTTGCTTGGCTCCTATCGGCATGTTTACCGCACGTAACATGAAGCTATTGTTAGCAAACCAATCATGCTGCCTTGTCAAACAGTGGTTTCAGGTAATATCATTCCATTACAGTCTATTGTTGATATTACCTCAATCACTCACTCACTATTCACTCACTTTCCTGTAAACTGCGACAAAACTTGTAGGCCACTTCCTTGCAACATCTTTCTCTCATTGAATTTGGGTTTTATTTTAGGAACAATTTGCAATTATCGCGTGCAGTTACCCGTGTCGTTGCTGTAAAGCTTATGTTTTGCTGAAATTATGGATAACATTTCTTTTGTTGCCATAGGTTCATCGTGGTTGTATGATGTTGGTCAGCGCACTCACTATAGGAGGTTTTGTAGTGATTTTTATCAATGTTGGTGGATGGTCAAAGGTAAAGTTTTCATAACAGTCTAATCACAAGTTCACGAGAGCCTAGTAATTAAATTACCATAACCGAACCAATACATCCCACAATTACGGACATCCCCCTGAATATTTCGTGCTATCGTTGATTATGAATATTATTATATTATTATTATTATTATTATGTGTGGTCCCAATTGAAGGCTTCACTGGTTCAATGTCATTAATACCAATTGTAGTGGGTGAAATCGTGGATACAAGTCGCTGCCACATAAAAACCGTTCTTGAAATAACAATTTGGAGGGAATACAGCCTTTTGCAAAAATTATGAGAATTGTCGAAATATCTAAATATCATAATATCCATATCAACACATTGTCCGGAACACGCGGGTTTGCTAGAATAATTCATTGTTGACATCAAGAAAATGTTCAGAACTACGGATAAGTCCGTCCCCGAAAAAAAACTAAACAACAAAGGCAAGAGACTAAGGGCATCGCGCGGGATCATGCACTTGATATTATGATATTTAGATATTTCAGCAATTCTCATAATTTTTGCAAAAGGCTGTATCTAATTAATAACCAGTATTATGTACAATTATTTGTTATGTTACGGTCTTTTTGGATTGGTCGAGAACCGTGTTTATCTCAAGCCCAGAGTCTTCACGGCGACTTAAAAAACCGAGAGGAAATAACGCCCCAGAAACTCTCACGCATTGACTTCCGCAGGATGGCATAAGTGCAGGATCTGGGTGCAAGATTATATCAAAGTACACAAACACGAATGATCGACGACATCCAATCTTACATGTGATCGGTCAGAACCAATGCGCGCGCTCTGCTTTGTTTGTTTAATAAAATTTCGAAAAATTCGGAATTTCAGTTCTTCTAATAGATACATAGAAGACGTCAAAATATGATGCGAACAACAGTCGGTTCGTCTCGTATCTTAAGTGTCCTTTCTTCTCCTTTCCGAACAATTATCGTTTCCTTGAATACAACTTTGTCAGCTTTGTTTTCAGCTATTTGGTACATGTGTAAGGACACGCTCAAATGGATCGTTCTGATTTGCCACTCGTTTATTGGTTCTCAAGTACAATAATTACACACTATGATTAATTTGTTCGGTACAAGCTGAGGCTAAAGAAGGTCGATCAGAAAATGACTTTCCGCAGTCGGGGTGTTCCGAACTCAAGCACTTTCCCTACTTTAGTCGGTACTTTCTAATACGACCTAGACCACAGCCTCAGTCTTGGCCCGCAACTAAGTACACTGAGATAGGTATCCTGTTTTTATCAAATTCTAGTCAAAACTAATATGATGGTGGTCTATAGGATGTTGAACCACACATGAAACTACATTAATCAAAACAGTCTAGGCCTGTAATATAAACATATCGAAAAGTACAAGGTCATAAGAAATTCATCTAAATTTCACAAATAGCAAATCTTTCAAATTCTGTTATCTAACACATGAATATCGCTTCTGCGAGAAAAGTGACGAAACTATTGCTACCGAATATAGTGCTTGATTCGGGTTCGTAATTCTTTACGTAATTCGTAATTCTTTACGTAGTTCGTAATTCTTTACGAGTCTTATGAAGTTCAGTTTCGTCATTTCCGTGTTTTGACTCTCTTTAAAACCAACTCTTCATTTTAGAAGCTTGGCCATCGATTGATGACAACACGCAAGCATCTTGATCAGCCTCCTTTCCCTCTTTGGAGACGAAACGTCAAATTCTCAAAACTTGACATTAATAACAATTTTCTCGTCCTTACTCGAAGAGAATAGCTTGTAGGTTGCATAGCCTACGATAGCAATCCCTCCAAATACGGCTCCTCCAATCAGAACCGTCTTTAAATTCAACATTTTTTTCAAAGCAAATCTTTTCAGCGCTCACTTATCAAAATCAATCAACGCTCACGTATGACAACGCATTTCGGTTCATTATGCGGTCTGCGTTTCGTCTTATCTTCCTGTGGCAGGCACTGGTCATCGACCATCTGGTCTTCTACGTGGAAATATACATCGGCTTTGTCCCGTTGGGTATTAATATCGGGAATATCTAGCTTAGGGATTGGATGGAGCAGAGACCCCTTCGTGAAGGCGAAAAACCCAGCCAAGTTCTTGTCTAGCTTGACGGAGCTCTTTATAATACGTTTGGTCTTAAATAAAAAGACTGCGCTCAAAGCCTCCATGTTTTCCAGGTCTTTCATAATCTTGCCGTTCTTGAGTACGATGGGAATGAAGAGACCTAACAGCGCAAAGTGGAAATGAACGGATATATAGATGAATGAATAAAAGGATGAATAAACGAAATGAGACAAGTCAAGAAAGACAAATATGAGAGTGAATAGAAAGAACCCAGCTGTAAGAATATCGCATCTACATCAAAAACGAATATGTATATGACAAGAGAAGGTAGACATTGTCCTCATACATACTTGGTCGATATGTTGACTCGTTGTCTCATTATCCAATGGATGACTATAGACTCGTCCTCTTTTTTTCTGTACTGCCTCTTTTTGGATTTTACGTTCTCCATGTCATTTATTGTTTTTGGTTATTTCTTCTCCTACTTTTCCTTTGGCGTCTTGTTTTTCTTTTGCACAATCATCATCTTTTTTTGACGACCACATGTTCAGCTATTTGACTTTGTTGGCTGTCCCAGTATCCAATGGATGACGATAGCCTCATGATCCTCTTTTTTATGTTCGTTTTTCTTAGGAGTTCACGTTCTCCATGCTTTATTGTTTCGGTTAATTCCTGTCCTTTTTATCCTTTCGTCTTGTTTTTCCTCTTCTTTCCTTTCTGTTTCTTTTTCCACAATCATCATTTTTTTCGTCGTTCTTCTCCTGACGCCAGTCTTGTGAAGTTCAGTATCGTCGTATTTTGAGTCTTACTCTCTTTAGTCAATCTCTTCACAAACCTTCTAATACTTCAGAAGCTTGGCCGAGACGCAGCTGTTTTAGGATCAACAATTGCCTTTTTACGAGCTATCTTGATCACCCGCCTTTCCCTCTTTGCAGACGAAACTTCAAATTCTCCAAACTTGCCATTAATAACAATTTTCTCGTCCTTACTCGAAGAGAATAGCTTGTAGGTTGCATAGCCTACGATAGCTATCCCTCCAAATACGGCTCCTCCAATCAGAACCGTCTTTAAATTCAACATTTTTTTCAAAGCAAATCTTTTCAGCGCTCACTTATTAAAATCAATCAACGCTCACGTATGACAACGCAATTGTGACGTCATTTGCTAATCAGATAATGAACTTAATCAGATTGTGACGTCACTCCCTTTGACCCAGCTTCTTCTCTTCTTTTCCAGTCGTGAATTTTATGAAAATGAAGAGCTGGGATCAAATTTCATTAATGAGTGAGGTTGCACTATTAAAGGCTGAATGCATCGAAACACTAGTGAAATGTTGTCCTTTTTTCAAAACATTAATGGGAGACGCCGCGTCATGAAAAAATTAATTTCTTCAATTATATTTTGTTAGGGATGTTAACTTCTCCTTTGCTGGGACTGCGCAATAATTATCGGGAGGGGGTGGGTTGAGTATCCAAGGGGCGGGGGGCCAAGTCTAAACTTATGATTTGAAAGATGTGTGACATTTATGAATACTAATAATAAAAAAATTGCAAAGTCTTCTTTCGTAAAATTTTTTCTTCAACAAACACTTCATACTCATGTACATGTATAGTTCACGTAACACCATTTCTCAACATTCGTGAAGTTGGTAGGGAGGGATTAAATTCGTTTCATTTTTTCTCTTATAATTATTGCGCACTGTTCCTTAACAATTAATCTCAAAAGGAGGTTTTATGCCGTTTCGTTTGTGTGAAGAAAATAACAACACGTAATGTCCAACTGATATTTGATATCAATGATTATACAGGGTCATTGCGCATTTATTGTTATGTATCACGATCTATTTGAGAATTGAAATCTAACCAATGTCTGATGCAATTTTTCACAGGCTGCTGGATGGCATGCAATAATAGGCACTGCTGTACTGTCATTGACTGTTATCCAAACAATTGTTGCTTTGTTTAGACCAAGTCCTGAAGATCATCGGTAAGGCATGGCATGGCTTTATTACTTTCCAGTCACGGTATAAAATATTCAAATGTTAACAACATCGACTCATTTCATCATTATTCATTGGTGTATACAGATATCCCGAAATCAGTGTGCATTCATCTAAATTCCTCATCCATCCATCCCTCCATTTCATCCAACAATCTCCATTCATGGATTTTACTGTTTTTACTGCATCCAATAAAATGCTGTCCTATTGTTTATAGGCGTTCTATCTTTAATTGGATCCACCGATGCATCGCTTGTATCGTCTTTGTACTCGCAAGTAAGTCTGTCGATAACGATATGATATATGTTACCCCTGTATGTCAAGCTTTTCGAATTGTTTGGTTTCAATAATTGATCTCCGGGAGCATGAGTGAGCCTCGGAACACTGCCCCATATACCGGGATATTTTTGAAAGGTCCCGCTTCMCGCTGTCGGAAGTTTGCTATTGCAATGTATGGCATCCCTACAATCTCTGGCTGTTGTTGAACGCCAGTATTGAAAGAGCTGCACAGAAAACCAAACGTGGCTAAATTAACTTTATATTCCAGGCACCTTTGTTTCTGATATCTCAGTCAGATTCCTTTTTCCCAGGCAACCTCAGCGGAAACTTTTTTCTCTTTTTGGTCATCCTGTCCTAAGAATAATGTCGGCCGAAAAGAGCTGGGTCCGATGGATTAGGAACAAGCAAAAGCACGGGTCACCTTTTTCTTCCTTCTCCCCCTCCCCCTTCACCATAACTCGGACGTCTATCCGTCTTAACACAGAAATTCAGCGAAGTGGAGTTGCTTGTGAAACTAAATGATATATTTTCTATTGTGTTTCAGTATCCAACTGTTTTCTCGGTGTAAATCTTTTCAACCAGTCACCATTGACAAGTCACCTTGGTTTTGTTCTGATTTTGTCTTTCATCGTTGGCTTTGCAACCATTGCGCTTATCTATGAAACTTACTCATGTTGCTATCGACCAAAAAACGAAGAACACTCAGGACTTCTTAACAACGATCATAACAACCTGAAAGAAAGCGACCACGCCCATCTTCAAGAAATCAAGGTATATTATCAATGAGTTAGTTTATCATGATAATATAGCGCGACCGGGATGACAATGCAAGAGACCTTCACATTTGACTTCTAATTGTTGTTTGTTGATGATGATAATGATGATAAAGAGGTAATAATACTAAGATCGGTTGCTATGATACCGGCTGTGGTTATGATGATGATTACAAACCCTAGCAGGGTATTACTTATTAATAATTTTATAACAAGACATATAAACTCTATCATTTTATAGTGACTCACTCGTGGTTGATCCAGTGTTCTTTTATCTCTTGCAGAGCAATAAAGTGTTTGATGTGGTATTCTATTTGTTCATCGTTGGCATCGCTGTCGGTGTATGTGCGACGTTAATAAGTCTTCTTGTGTTATCGACGGCCAAGCAATTGAGAGGATGACAGATGGAAATTATATTATTATTACTGCTGTAAACATGTACAAAGCCTTCTACAGCGACAACAGCAACAACAACAACAGCAACAACAGCAACAACGAACATGTTATAGAGTCAACGCAAGTGTACCGTCAGTAAATAAAATTAATAGTTATACCTCTTTGATTACGCTTCACGGTACAAGTACGTTTGCTCTGTCCGACCTACTTATGTTGTAAGTCATCAACTGATACTTGGATTAAAACTTAAAAAACACACGCTAGAATACACGCTAACAACAAACGTACTTATAAACCGACGGAGATGCTAACACTTCTTAACGACGATATATGATAGAGCGGATTTCGTATGAGTGGGAAACGGACGGTACTGTACTGTGACCGTAATCGTACTGAAACCAAATTCTAGTGTCCCATTGGTTCACCAAAATTGTGCAGGCCAGGTCCGGTAACTGTGCGGTAACCGTGCGGTAACGGTGTCCCACTCATACGAAATCCGCTCTATTGCACAGTAAATATATATTACCTGGGCAATTATAGATATGAAAAAAAATCTTAAATCTATATAAGGTTATTTTATGTATCAGGAAAAAATCCTGAATAAAGTATTAAATGCAATAGTATTGACGATTCACTCCCCGGGGTGGAGGGGGGGGGATTAACGTGTTATCAAAAACTTCTTATCGTCTTTGATGGATGTCAGTATAATCAGTTTTGATGGTTGCGGCGTAGATAGCGATTCCTTATTTTTCCGATTTGTCTTGAAAACAGGGTCGAGTGCCCCCCCTCCCCTCCCCCCCCTCCACGGGATTCACTTATCGTCTTACAGTCACTTGTTTACAAGTCAGTATTTTGCTGGATCGTACAAGGTCTTATTATTCAGATAAGCGGCACTTTCGTTTGAATTCGGTTGAACCATTACTTCAGCTACATAAATAGACCGCTTGCATGTGACGTCAAAGCACCTTCATCTGGAGGACAAAACAAAAGATTTTTAACCTCTTGGGAACTAGAATCCATTGTTTTGTCCTCCAGTTGGAGCTGCATTCCCATGAACTGCAAGGGGTCTATAGGCCATTTGCATTATGGCGTAGCTTTACTACAACTAGTCTACCATAGAGCCTTGCGCATTTTCATTGTTATTCAGTTTTGTAATCCCCTTGGAGATTAAGAAAACAATTGTCACTAATTGCATTACAAAAGAAAGTTGGCAAAGCATTCTGGTAGTATAGTAAATGACTCCATAATGCAAATCGACTATTGAAGTTGGCGCATCTCAGGGGTGGATTCAAGAAGGTTGCCAGGGGGATAGGTCGACCCCATATAGAAATGAGAAAGTACATCACAAAAGAGGTCTTAAGGCTTTTATTTGGCGGAAATATCTAGACGTCCAAAAGCCGCGACTTAGGGGATATCCGTTAGACTTTTGAGGGGGGGATTGGAAGATTTTGGAAAAAATTTTCCTGCACGGCCCGAAGGGACGAAAAAATTTTTGCAAGACAAATTTGTTTGTTTGTTTGTTTTATATTTATTTATTTATTTTTTCATTTTTATAATTATATAAGATTACTTTGATAGATCTGGGTACTAGTCACCAGTATCTCGCGTCCGCGCACGATGTCGCATCCACCATCCACACAACATTCGGATCGGCATGTTTGATTCTATTCGTCTTTGTCAGGACTAAAATGTATTTGTTATTGTCCTCAATACTTATTGGTAAGTCTTACCATGGAATTATATCTAAGTAAAATTATTTTATTTGCTTTCAAACTTTTTAAAGTTTTATATAAGGTCTACCTTGTTGTAAGCTAAACTTTTTCGTGAATGTTTTGAAGTGGTAGATCGACTTTTAAGTATTACTTCGTGTACCGGAGCACAGATTACTCAATTCAATAAAAAGAAAGGGTTGCAACAACGGAGTAGAATCTAAACAATACCTCGAAATACAATGAAACCTTACCAGAGATTTCGGTACACGAAGAAGAGCCCGGTAGATCATTCAGCTTATCAGCTTTTTTTTTACCTGTATTTCTAATTGCTTCATTTATTGTTTATTATACTTAATAATAATATTGATTTCTTGAAATTATGATTAATACACTTATGTAGTTTTTCTGCTTGCAAAATCAGCTTTATGAATATGTAGATAATTATTAACTTCAGCTTCCGTGTTGACTTTTAAAATTTGACGTATTTCATAAATTGGTAAGCTTAAGATGCGACATAGCACAAGCCCGAGGGGGGAACTCCCCCGAAACTTGGGTGGAGGTGTGCCGCTGGGACCTCAAAACCCTGACCCTGTTCCAGAGTGAAATCGCTGAAAACTATACCCTGTTCCAGAGTAAAATCGCTGAAAACTATACCCTGTTCCAGAGTAAAATCGCTGAAAACTATACCCTGTTCCAGAGTAAAATCGCTGAAAACGATACCCTGTTCCAGAGTAAAATCCTGCACTAGCTTGCGTGTAGACCGAATTTTTACCCCATTAATTTTTATCCAGCATCAAGAATTCTGGAATTCAACCCTGACCCTGTTCCAGAGAAAATTCGTTAAAATCGATACCCTGTTCCAGAGTAAAATAGCTAAAAACGATACCCAGTTCCAGAGTAAAATCGCTGAAAACGATACCCTGGTTGGCGGCACGTCCCCGTATAGCGAATAT